TTACAAGAAACCTTAAACAGGAAAAGTGCCGTTGGACATACACATACATCTTCTGAAATAACAGACTTAAACGTTAGCCTTGAAAATAAAGCAGATAAAACATATGTCAATGAAATATACCAAAGTTTGATAGGAACAAAAAATATTGAAACTATTGTTGGTGACTTTTCTGTCAATGAAGAAAATAAATATTTTAGATGGCAGTTTGTACAGTCCTTAGAAAATGGTACACGGTGTAAACTCATTCCGAAAAATAACAATGAAATGTATGTAAGCTATAAAAAGAATGATGGTACACAAGTTAAAGTTCCATTAGACAACAACTGCTACTTAAACTTATATGGAGACGAACAAAAGAAATATTTAAGAGTTTATGAAATGACAGATATGACATTGCCTGACCCAGCTCCAGCACCATATTATTATGACTATGGAGATGACGTCAGAACACCACATGTAGATGAACAAAAGCTAACATTATATTTAGATTATTATAGATATAAAAGATATAATGCAATAGAAAAAACGAGAATAGTATACTATTATGAAGATGACAGAAATAAATATTATAGTCAAGATTTTACCTACCCTGAAAACATAAGATTATATTATAAAAAATATTCTGACACAAACCAGAAGAAACCTGAAATAGTTGCACTATATTTTAAGTTCAAAAGAGACAATCCTATAATATCTCATATGTTTGATTTAATGAACCCAGTAGGTTCTATTTATACATCTATGGAAGCAAGAGGTCCTCAAGTAATGTTTGGTGTTGGTGCATGGGAACAAATAGTCGACAGGTTTTTGTATTGTGCAAACTCTTCAAAGGAAACAGGTGGAAGTAAAACGATTTCAGGTGAAAATTTACCTGCACACAGTCACTACATAGATTTAAGTACATCTCAAGCAGGTTGGCATAAGCATAGATATTGGGATTGGTCAGGAATGACAAAAGGTAAAGGATATGATGTTAAAGACGACGTTAAGTTTGCTATAAATTGTTACTGGAGTGACACTCAGGGAGAAGGAAACCATACACATCGTTTCAGGATATACGCAAACAACGGGACAAAGTAAAGAATACATGCCACCTTACATGACAGTTTACGCATGGTATAGAATTGCTTAGTCGTCATTTTCAACTTCTTTAGCATATTCGTCAGGAGTTGTCTTATATTTGTTAGGAACTGTCTTTGAAAGTATACCACCTTGAACTTTGACAAGTTTGAAACGAGGTCTGACAATAGTAGTTTTATCTTCTGCTTGCAGTGTGTACATTTTGCCATGTTTGCCTAAAACTTCATAATATTCTCTTGTATACTTTCTTCTATTTTTACGAACACGAATGTGAGTACCTGTCGGGTTCCCATTGTTGTCATAGTCAATAGTATTTTCATATGGGTCGCGTTTAGGTATTTCTATTTTTACTTTGTCACCTTTCTGAAGTTTGAAGCCCGGCATTCTTTCTTGTTTGTCTCTTTTGACTAAATTATTAAATATATAGTCTTTCTCTAAGTCAGGGTTGTTTTTCATTTCTTCGGGGGAGTGGTTTCCCAAACCTTTTTGTTTACGGCTATTGTAAATATTTAAAACTTGTCTCATCTTTGCCATGGAGAAGTGTCTATATTTGTCGTCATATGACATTTCATTTGCTTCACCACCTTGTGGTTGGTTTAAGTCTCTTAACATTTTTATACAACCGTCAATGACACCAAGAGCAGAATGGTTTTGGTCGACAATGAAATATTGGTTTACATTTTTTGAACGCAGATAGTTTTTTACATCATCTGATTTGAAAGAACTTTCACAGTCAGATGTCAGTTTTGTTGGATGGTATTTGTCAACGAATATTGTCAAAGCAGTTTTCACATCTAAAATATTTTTGGACCATAATGGTATGGCTTCACAGTATCTTGTGTTTTGACCGACAAATATTAGCCAGTATGGTGGTCCATCTGTTCTAACTCTCGGAATGTTTTCCAAGATATCCATAAACCAAGCATTTGGTGTTGAACTAAAGATTTTTATCATGAGTGCTTTTTTTGTCGCTTTAGAAACATAGGGTCCTTGTTTGGATTCGTCATTTTTTATCCTATAAGAAATGGGTTTATTTGGCGCATTAGCAGGAGTTGCATCCAGATTTTTGCCCGCAGTGGGAACAATAGCCAGAGGTGTATTTGGAGTTGGAAGGAAGATTTTGAGTACATTAGGTATACTTAAAGAGAAAGCACAACCTATTATACAAACTGTACAGAAAGGTTGGGATGTAGCACGAGATGCAACAAATCTTATTCCAAATCCTGAAACAAGAGGAAAAGTTCAAGGATGGATGGACAATGTAGGAAGACAAGCAGGAAACTATTATAACAAAGCAAATGACTACTATAACCAAGCAGGACACTATATGGACCAAGGTGAAAGATTCTTTAACAGAGGATATAACCATGCACAACATGGGTAAACAATAACCAACCTCAACCGCCTCAAACGTGGGGAATGTAAAGTTTTTTACTGAGATGAAATGAACAATACAGCATTGAGACAAATGGGTTCAAGATGGATTTGTCGGCTTCCAGCAGTTACACACGTGTTTGTCAAGTTCTTCCTATACCTCAGGAAGTTTTAGACCGACTTAAAAAACAACAACAACCAGTTGAAAACAAACCAAACTAAAATTTTTTACTGAGATGAAATGACCGAAGAAGTTGAAACGGTAGATTTGACACCACAAACAAAAAGTTCAGAACCATTGTCAAAACCTGTCAAAGAACTTACAGATGAAGAGAAAAATTCAATAATAGAAAGTGCCAGGTCTGGAAATACAAACCCTAACTACAAAGTCACTTTTCATAAAAATGGAACGGCAAGTATCTCAAAAAAGAAACAGACTCTCACAAATAAAATATTGAAGTCTGAAGGAGCTTTCGAGACAACAGATGGAAAAGTTTACTTCACTGACCAACAGTTCATTATAGAACATCTCATTGACTTAGAGTCGAAATATTCTAAACTTTACAACAAACACAAAAAGTTGAAAGGAAAACAAAAACAAATGGCATATGATATTTATGAAGATGTTGACGACACAACTGTTCCTGCAAGTGAAGTAAAGTCAGAGAAACCGAAAAGTGACGAAAAACCGATAGAAGAAAAAAACCAAAAACTGAAGATAAACCAAAACCAAAGTTTAGTTTGGAAACTAAACCAAGTCAACCTTCATTAGCTGGTATGGGTTGGCGTCAAAGACTTATGGCAGCAGGCGGTTATGTAAAGTAAAGAAAAAAATATTTTTTTATTTTTATAAAAATGCCCCCATATAGAATGGATAGAAAGTCTGCTAGAATAAAAGCAGAGTTGCAAAGATATGGTTGGAGAGTTTCGAAGAATTTTAAATATAGGAAGGGAAGACCCATAAAAGTCTATGACAAATTGCTGGTCTTCGCTACGAAATGGATTTGGAAACAGCACGTGCAAATTATCCAAACAGACTAGAGAGGTTAGAAGAAGAACGTCTTATGGACATGCCTTTCGATGTTAGTGAACCTCAAGTTGAAGGACACGACGGCTTTGCCAGATTCTACTGGAAACATGACGAACAATTGCATCCTTTGAGAAGGAAAAAAGGTAGTGCAGAGGATGGTCATGCTCCCATGGAAAGAACAAGATATGCATATGAGAAGTATCGTGAAGTTAGAAGTCAAATTACATCTGGTCGAACCTTTACAGTAAACTTTGACGAAGGAAAGAACAAAGAAGGCTTCATGGGTGTACTTGCTGCAATTCAAGATGGAAATAAGAAAGGACACAATCTCAGATTGACCATAACAGATTTGGATGGTCACATTTACTATGCACATGGCAATGTCACAACAGCTGCAATGCTTCTTGACGCTTTCAAGACTACAAAGAGAGAACAAATGGTTGACTCCGACTCAGACATTTTGAATGCAATTGAAGGAATTGCAAGTGTCAAGTTCGAATGGTACCAACCTAACCCTCAAGCAGTCAGACAACATGCTGGATACTTCCCCTTCATAAATAAGTCTGACATTGACTTGACAAGGTATGGAATTTACAATTCAATTGAAACAATTGTCAATGAACCTTGCATTCTTACATGTCTCAGGAACTCTGGTCTTGTTACAGAAGAGAAGATGAAGTATCTTGAGTCATGTGTGAAGACAAGGTACATTCTCAGAGGTCAATTGGCAAAAATTGCACCGTTGGCAAATGTCAATATCCGAGTCAACATACCTACAGCTAAAGGTTCTTCACATGACGACTATGTTGTTGACAACTTACCATGGTTGAAGATTGTAATTGTCCACAACCACTTCATGTTGAACGAAAGTCTTACAAACCCATTGTTCGGAAAAGGCAAGTGCAACATTGTCAGAGCTGTAAACATTCTTTTCGAGAAAGGTTTGTTGGAACCAATTCCAGATGACAAGCTGACAGAAACTTTTGTACCAAAAGACGAAACAAACTTTTCACTGTTAGCAAGACCAAAAGTTGTTCCAGACAAAGTTCTAGTACAAAAGAAGTACACAATTCCACAAGGAGTTGGATTGTTCGGATACCAACCTGAACCAGAAGAACTTCCAATGAGGTTGCAAGAACTTCAAGATGCTATAAACAAACTTCCATTGAGACATCCAATTGACGTCAAATTGTATTGGAGAGCATCTGAGTTAGGTCAGAAGGTTTTATATGAAACAGGTTGCTTCGACGATGTTTATGAGATAACAGGAGAAGTTTCTCAGAAGATAAGAGACTCACTTGAATTTCCACAAACTGGACCAATTGGTTGCGACAAGTTCGACTCAGATGAAAAGATATACTATGTCGACCTTAACGCTGCATACATGAGGTTTGTCCAATATATTCCGACTGGAATTCCAAACGAAGATGGTGAGTTCCCGGGAAGGAACTATACAGTTGGAAAAGTCATACAACAACTGTATGATATTAGGAAAGCTTCAAACCCCAAACTTGCAATGACACTCAAATTGCTTATGAATTCGACATGGGGATATTCCATTAAGAAACCTCAAGAGATGAAGAGTAAACATTATGAGAAGGTCGACAACTTTGTTGAAAGGTTTTCTCCTTTTGTTTTGAAGTACGAATTCACTCAAGGTCAAAGTGGCTTAGTAACCACATTAAAACCTATTGTCGAACATTGGTCTTACCCTCAGTTCGCAAAGGCAGTCCTTGACAACTACAACAAATTCTTCTCCGAAGTCAAATCGAAAGTTGTGGTTTACTATGAGAACATTGACGCACTCATGACGAACGAAGAAGGCTATAACAAACTCATTGAAATGGGTTTAGTCGGTGAAAAGATGGGTCGATTCAAATTGGACAAAATTTTCACCGAAGTTCATGTCCTCTCCAAGCGTAAGTATTGGGGCATACTTGAAGACGGCACAGAAATAAAACATTGCATGAAATAAAAAATTTTTATATTCCTTCCTAGCTAATTTCCGTTTAATTTCATGGTCGCCCTCGGAGTCTTTGAATCGGACAGGTCGAGTTACACCATTCTTGGTCTCAAACTCATATATAACCTGTTTGTCTGTATTTTCGTCGACTATGGCACGAGACACGAACATTGACCAAACGGACAAAAAGTGTCATTTCGGATGGTCACGCAGCCAATCGCATTCGAGCACTTCGAAGAAGCCTTACGTTCCAAGGGAGAGGGTGTCTGGTGCAAGGCAGAGGTCATGAAACTCTACGAGCAGTACATCCTCAATGCCTGGGAGGACAAATCGTCCTTGGATTGGCAATTCTACCAACTCCTCTGGGACGACCTCCTACGCAACTGGGATAACGAAAGAGCCCAATTCAAAGGTCGGGAACTAATTTTGCAAATTACCCTTAATTTAACATACTTATCCAAATAAACACCTAAATTTACTTGGGGTTTCCCCCTAAAATAAATTTTTTTTACTCTTAGAACCACTCGAGGTTCTCCTTACGGTTGTTGAGCTTGTCACCGTCAATGTGTCTGACCCTCGTCTTCTTGTCTGGATTTGGAACCCATTGCATACCGACAAGCCTTCCCATGGAAATTGAACCGTAATTCCGAAGGTTAAGGTTCAAGTGTCCCAAGTTGTTGAGGACTGGGGTAAGAACCTTGCCTGTCTCCTTGTTGCGGATTTGGTATGGGTAGGGTTGGGAAATTTCGTAAGCGTCATCGACAACAAGGGTTGCCCAAACTTCCTTTTCTTCGTGTTTCTCTTTTTCTTCTTCCTCTTCTTCCTCTTCTTTGATAATACCTTCGGCAATTCTGTGTTCACGAAGTACGGTGTTGCATGTTCTGTCCTTTCCGAGTACCTTCCAGATGGCGTCTATCTCTTCGAAGAAACGGTAGATGAGTCGGGCAAGGTTTTGGTTCTCTATGTTGTATTGGCGCAAGGTTTCCGCGAAATCGTTCAGGACTTTCTTATTGGAAGCTTGGTTCGTGAGGACTTCGACTTTGAGATTGGTTATCTCTTCCATAAGACTACTTTGGAGAGTCTTAATGGTGTTTGACAGATGAGCGTTCAATTGGGCAATTTGAATTTGAACTGGGCGCTTGTCTGGCAACCTTGAAAGGACATCTGCCATTGAGTTTGGCTTCGGTGCCTGTTCGGACATCGAAAAAATGAAGTGGTTTGAGAATGGCGGTTTTACTTCAAAAAGCTTGTTATGACAGTTATGTCATACAACAAGTTTAAAATAATATCTTGTTCTTCTTCTGAACGTTTGTTGTCTCTTCCGATAAAAGTTTGGAACATGAGAACCAAAAAACGTTTTTTGAGGAACCGAAAGAGTTCAGGCAAACGTTCATATTCCGGATATGTTGGGAGCAGTTCGAAACATCTGAGCTGACTTTCGGACAAAATTGGGACAATGTCAACAAATTCATCTTTGGTCGGACTGCTTGAAGGTAAGTCCCTTACATGTAAGTAGCTCTGGTAAAGTCTTCTCATTTCTGCTAACTTTTGGAGTATAGCTTCGTAGTTTAGAAGTTTTAATTTTAATTGTCTTATTCCACTCTTGACATCTAAACGGTAACTATCCATGAGGTCAAGAGTAGCTTTGGTAGCTTTAAGTGGAGCTATCTGTTCCTTGACCTCTGCAATTTTGGTTGCAATTGTGATTTGAGCTCCTTTAAGTTCGCCGTCTATGTCGTTCTCAACGTCTTCAACGATGGCTTGAAACTCTTCATCGGTCCATTGAGATTGGTGTGGGACGAATTTAACTTGCTTCATTCAAAAAATGAAAAAAAATGTTTTTACTCTAAACGTTAAGGTTTACTGAACTGGTTGGATGTCGCCTTCACAGGTTATGTAGAACGGCTGACCCGAGAAGTGAAGGAGAGACTGAATTGCCAATTTCATATGGGGTAGGGGGTTCTCCTTGTTTGGTATTTTTATCCAAGGACGTTTGTTTAGGAACTTAACAAGAGCTTCTCTTTTGGCGTCCTTTATGCCATCGTAGGCTGTCCCGTCTGGTATTTGAATTGGAATTCCAGTCGAAGTCTCGAGCTGAAGTGTAGACCTTCCAGAAATAGTGGTGAACTTGACCTTGGGCTTCATTACCCTGCGCAAGTACTGCTTAACAACTTCATTTATCTCTATAAGGTAAATTGCCTCGTCAAATCCTTCTGGCATTCCGAGTCCTTCCATCCGACAGGAAAAGATTTTCCCGACAACTGGAAAAAATTTTCCGGACAAAGGGAAAAATTTTTCCTTCCGACAGGAAGAACTCTTCCAGTTGTCCGTCCGTAAACCATTCAAATTTTCGAAAATTGAGAACTTTTTGGTCGAACTTCAGAAAAAGTTTTTCCTTCCGACAGAAAAAGTTTTTCCTTCCGACAGAAAAAGTTTTTCCTTCCGACAGAAAAAGTTTTTCCTTCCGACAGAAAAAGTTTTTCCTTCCGACAGAAAAAGTTTTTCCTTCCGACAGGACACAAACGGATGACTGACGTTCCTCTTCCTGAACGCCTTCCAAAGCCAGAAGAACCGAAAGCTGCAGAACCACAACAGTCTCCTCAGCAACCTCAGTTCCAGCAAGTCCCTCCACCAAATTACTACCAATTTCCACCTCAAGGTTACTACCTACCACAAGGCTTCCCGAACTACCCTCCTCCTCAGCCTATGCCTTACTTCCCCAACCCTTGGATGTTCCAGCAAGCTCCACCCCAGCAATTCCAATCTCAATCCCAATCGAAGAGAGCCCAAGAGTTCGAAGAAGGTCTGAACCGTTTACGCAAAGATTATGCCACAGTCCCGATGGAAGACGACAGGCTTTCAGTCTCTTCCCTCAAATCGACCGATTCGACTCGTACCACAGATTCGGTTCGTGACCGTGAAGACTACCTCAAGCAGTCTGAGAGACTCTTCATCCTATAATCATTTACAATTGGAGCTCTCAAGAACATGCACAATTACGAAGGTCAGACACCAGCTGGAGACCGCAAAACAGACGTACTCGCAAGAGCCGTCCAGCTCGTCAAAACAAAGACTGAGATAGTCGACTTCATTCTTGCAGCTTGCCCATACAAGTAAAAAAAATAAACAATTACGAGTTAAACTTTTTATTCTTTCTTTTCTGAGTTGTTTAGAGCTGGTTTCTCTTGTAGGAACCTTTCGTACTCTTCCATGGTCATGTAATTGCGAATTTTGTACGCAATTCCAGGTTCGTTGTTTTTGAACCTTACGTATGTAACGCTTCCATCCTCCTCAGGGAAGTAAGCTGCTAACATCTGACCAAGTTTTCTCGGTGACTCGGAGCTCATTAAAAATGTCACTTTTTTAAACGTTAAGTTTTTAGTCTTATTTTACCCTTTGTTTGTCAAGGTAGTATTGGAGCGCAATTTCTCCAAATTCTCTGTGTCGGAGTTCTTCAGCATTTTCCAAGGTGTACCTGGAGAACTCAAAGAAGTTGTCAAGAAGATACTGCCATGCTGCTCTTCTGAGTTCGTCGGTATTTTGGAAGTGTTGCACCTTCGAGTCTTCTGACATGAAAAAAATGACACTTTTTCTATTAAACCGTTTTGGCATTTCTCATGAGTGAGTATAGTTCTGCCGAACCATTGGAAGAGAAGAAGTACTCTTGCTGGCAAAAGACAAAAATAGTTGCCTTAGTTGTCATTGCAATTGTACTCGTAATTGAATTCATTGTACTTCTCTTCACGTACATAAAACTCAGCAATGGTATTTGCTTTAAGAAGCTACCATCTTACTAAGACTAAACACTTAGATTTTTCAAGCTTGACTTTTTACAATTTGAATTTTGTTGCTGAATTCAGTAAAAATATAATTTAGGGTAGAAGGTTAGATCTAACCTCATTTCTACCCTCATTTCTACCCTCTTGAATTTTCATGAATTTTATATATATTAATGTTTTCGTTATGCCACTTTGTGCCGTCAGTCAGTCAGTCAGTCAGTTTAGGAAATTTACACCAAAAAATAATGTTTAGGGTAGAAGGTTAGATCTAACCTCATTTCTACCCTCATTTCTACCCTCTTGAATTTTCATGAATTTTCCCGAAATAAAAAATAAAGTTAGTTTTATTTTTTTTATTTTTTTATTTTGTATAAAAGAACAGAAATGTCAACAATCGGCACAACAACAATTCAAACAACAGCACCAAACTCGTTAGTCATGAATCCTACGTCAATGTTGGTAGAGATGAAAAACTTCATTCCTTCTTCATATACTTTCGAAACAAAAATCCAGAAGATAAAGCAAGAACTGTTAACAAGTAATTTAGACTGTAGTGCGAAAGATGAAACAAATGAACAGTATCTTTATGAAATGGAGGACCTCATCGACCATTTGCCTAAACTACCTGAAATTCAGCAACAAAAACTAACCATTCCTGAATTCGACGAAATTGAAGTCAAAGCAACTGACTCAGTAGAAATAAAGAAGTTCATACGAAAGGTAAATTATGAATTCCTTGGTTTTCATTGCAACCATAAAGTTATGGAAAAAGATTGCGACATGGTATATAAGAACATCTCTGACATATATAAATCGGGGAGTTTAAGAACATACGACAACTTTGTTTCATTAGTTGCAGAATGTGTATGGAGATAAGAGATGAAGATAGAAGAGGTAAAGTATGGAATAAACAGATAAAACCAGCAGCTTTTGAGTTAAAGAAAACCATTGACGCCTTAGTTGTTCTAGCAGGTAAGGTTTCAGAATATAACGCAAAAATGAACCCGCAATGTTCTAAATGTAAAGCAGCAATGAGGAGATATAACTACTCCGTCAAGAGATAGAAAGAATGAGAACGACTATGCAGACTTAAAGAAAGAAGCAGAAAAAGCCAGCAGAAGATAAAATGGACATGTTAGAATTTCTGAACAAAAACTATCCAACAGCAGAAGATTTCCTTCTATCTGACGTCAAGAAGAAGTATAAAGAAACTTTCGGTATCGTTAAAACATTCGATGTACTAAAAGAAGAAAATAGAAGCTACGAAACTGTTTAGAGTCTCACGAATTCATAACGTTTACCATGTGAAACGCTTATAAAATAACTGGGGTAGAAAAGAGGGTAGAAATGAGGTTAGATCTAACCTTCTACCCTAAACATTATTTTTGCTGAATTCAGCAACAAAATTCTGAGTAAATAATTTTTAGGGCATGTGTCAAACCGTTGAGTTTTCACAAAATTTAAAAAATAACGTTTACCATGTAAAACGCTTATAAAATAACTGGGGTAGAAAGGAGGGTAGAAATGAGGTTAGATCTAACCTTCTACCCTAAACATTATTTTTGCTGAATTCAGCAACAAAATTCTTGATTTCAGGGATTTTTTTGACGAAGTGCAAACCTTCACTTCGTCAAAAAATGGCATATGCTTGCTTCCCTCGGAAAACCGAGAGAAGAGATTCCGTACGAAAACAGTGAAGAACAGCGAGTAAGTAAAAAACCGCAGTCGCCAAAACTCTATGAAAATCGTGAAAAATAACAGAGTATTTTGACAACTTCAAACAAGTAGGGTAGATGAACCATTTATTTTTCAAGCTTGACTTTTTACAATTTGAACTTTGTTCGCGTAGATATGAATTCTGAAAGAAGTATGAGGGTCTTGTATGACTTTGTACTTCTCCCATAGTTCATGTCTGTCAAACTTACCTGCCATGGACTCTTTCATAAGTTCCATGAAATCGTCTTCGGACAATCCGGGGAAAAGTACAATGTCAGTAAGTATTCTCTTTACATCCTTACTTAAACTCTTTGCTGTCTGTACACAAATGACAACTGAGATGTTAAAGTGTCTGAGCTTCTTAAGAATTCGACACATATCTTGTTCTCTATTCTTTAACAAAGGATGAGAGGCGAAATCATCTAAGATAAGAAGACATCTATGAGGGTAAGTCTTCCAATCGTAAGATTGCAATTTCTTCGAAATGTATTCTATCTCTTTCTGTTTGTTTCTGAAGTGTTTCTTCTCTAATATTCTCTGCATTTCCTCATTTGGGTCTTTAAACTTAGAATTTATATACTCATTTATAGCATTATACTTCAAAACTCTTCTTTGGTACTTCTTTATCCAATCTAACAACTCAGAGTCTTTTATACATACTAACTTAGACTTCTTTATAATATCTTTGAACGAATTGACGGTTTGGTCAAATTGACCAGAAGTCGAACAAATGACAACTAACTCATAGAATGGGTTCTTCTCATCTAGTTCTTGTTGTTGTGCAGCCATTTTAAGATAAGTGAAAGTCTTACCCGACCCAGGTGGTGCAATTAGACCTGTTATACCATTCTGAGCAAATAAGAACTTGTCATGTATAGGTTTTATCTGAGCATTTTCTAACTTCCTCTTGTTCTTGTTTAAAACATTCTCAAATTTCTTGTCAATGTCAGCAAACTTTTTTTCTAACATATTTTTAGAAAAATTAAAATTTTTATCTTTTAGAAAATGTCTAGCGATTTCGCTATCTATATTCGAGACAAGCTTTTCGACAGCAAAACATCTGTCGACCATAAAATCTTACATAGTGTAAACAAGAAAGGGGAATTTGTTCTAAAGTTCTGTTTCTGGGAATATGACAAGAACCATAAAACATTAAGCAGAGAAGTCTTAAAATTTGTCAATGACAGACTTGTTGACAGAGATGACGCCTCTTGGAGAGATGAAGTCCAACAAAATTTCTTAGAATGCAAAGAAGACACATGCGCTGTTCTTGAAGATGAAATAGAAAACAGAATAGATGAGCTATTAAAGGACAAAGAACTTTTACATAAATATAGTTGCGCCAAATTTGACATAACTCCACCAGAAAAGAAGAAGAAAGAAAAGAAAGAAAAGAAAGTAGAAGAAGAGAAGAAAGAATCTGAACCAGTTCCAGAGAAAAAGAAATTTGACATGTAAAAATAAAATTTTATTTTTAGAACATTTCTGGGTCAATGTCAATGTTCTCTTCCTCTTTAGGAGTAAACACTGGCTTAGACTCTAAAATCTTTTTACCCAATTTACCTTGAACTTCAACTATCTTAGACTCATAATATTCATAGTCGTCTGCTTTCTTTGGTTCATAAGGTATAACAAGTTTGTATGCTTTGCCTTCTTTAAGGTTTGAAAACCTTCTGTCAAAACTTTCTTTGACTGCTAACAAACCTTCTATGTCTAAGTCTTCAAATTTCGCACCATTTTTAGTCACAATAGCAAACTTAACTGGTTCGATGTTCCAAACTTTGCTGAATGAAGACTTTTCAAAATGGTAGAAGTAAACATTCAAATATGTGAATGGGTCTAGTTCTTCTTTAAGTCCTGACATGTACTTATTTACTGAGATGAATTTTGCCATCTTTTTCTATCGGATAAAAAAAATATTTTTTTTAAAATTTACTCATAAAAATTTTTCTTTGTATATACACCATTCTGAACATCTAAAAGACTTTTGACATTTGCCAAGAATGTTCGTTTAGACGCTGTCATATAACCATATTCTTGACAATATTGTTTATACGAATCGTACAATGACCTTTCATCTAAACACTCAAAGTCAGTTTCATCTATGAACAGTTCATATACACTCTTGTTTGCTTCTAACAATGTTTGTCTCTCTTCGGTATGTGGAATTTGTCTTGGATTGAACTTTGAAATATCTAATGTCATGAAATATGAGAACAAGTGGTTGTAAAAGTCAGATGTCAAAGTTTCTGCTAAGTCGTCAAAATATTCTGTATCTTGCATATGAGCTTCTGACGTTCTGACAACTACATATCTTCTGTCAGAACTTTCTAACTTCATCGGAACAGAATTGTTTGAAACCATAATGAAGTTTGCAACATTTTCACAAACTCTTTGGTCTTTATACTTTCTTTCAACAACTCCAACTTTGTCTGTTATAAGACTCTTCAAAGCATCTGAGTTCAA